TTTGTACCCAGATGCTTTTCTGGCCTTTTTGGTCTCACTCGTTCCAATAGTTTTAGACCTTCAGCATCACATCCTGCCTTAGAGCCTACCTACTAATTTTTTAAAACCCTATCCAAACACACACATGCACATACACACACACACAACCCACGTTTTACTCTGTGGAGATGCCAAGCTCACCATTTTCTATTTTTTCGATACTGTAATTTTCTCAGAAATGTTGTGGATGGAAAAATTATTTCAATACTGAGATACAGCACAATTTTATAATATTTAAATTACTGGTGGTTTGCATATTTGAATGCTAACTCTACAAAAACAGTTAGCTCACTCCCCACCAATGCTCCTTCTAATGACAGTTTGTCACCAATCCCAAATGATCTTCCCTGTCCTTTCTACTCTGCCTTTCAGATGGCCCCCCTCCTCTCAAGACTGATAGAAAAGAGAGGTGACTGGCAGGAACTAGGCTCCCCTTGCAAGGACGGAAGCAGCCTAGGCAGTAGGGGAGAACTGGTGAACTCTCCCTAGTGGGCCCCTTCTGGCATTTACTGGTCTGAGGGAAGGCAGAGGAAACTGGGAGGGTCTGGGCCACTATTTCGAGGACGCAGTGGCTTCCATCAGGTACGTAGCTACAGGGCTCTTGCCTCATGTTACAGCTCTGTGAACGGCCCTTTAAAGTTGCTGCTCTTTCTCTTCCAACTCCCCGTCTGGAAGTCCTCCCATTAACCTGTAGCACGCCTTGGCATGAGACCTGTGAGTTCAATCAGAGTGAGAGCGTTGTAGTCTTCCACAGCCCTGCCCTTCTTGGGGACACCGTTAATGCTCACAGACTCTCTATCTGCAAAGCAGGGGTTGAGGAGAGTGGACCTGCACACGCGGGAGCTTGCGAAAGCTCACAGACCAAAGAGAGCTTGGAATTTAGCCTTGAGCGTTTTAAAGCCCCCTCGTGTGTTTCTACAGCATCTGTGGCCTGATGGCAGAGTGGTTATGTGTTGGGCCGCTATGCCAACGTTGGAAACCACCAGCCATTCCAAGGGCGAAAGATGAGGCTTTCTCATCCCGCCTAGAGTCACAGCCTGGGAAACCCACAAGGGCAGTTCTCTGCCCTACAGAGCCGCTGTGAGTCGGAATCAATACACTCAATGAACTCCATTCAATCGAATCAATGGACTCCCCAGTGAGGTTATTTTTTGAGGGGGAAATGGGGGACGCTTTTATCTTAAAAAAAAAAAAGAGTTTTGACTTGGTATCAAAGAACTTTGATCTTTTTATGAAACTTGGTTTTGGCCCCTAGATACAAATTATTGAAATGTTTTGAGATGTGCAGAGCCCTAACGTAAATCCGAAAGCAAAGAGGTGGCATAGTGGGTGCAACCCACCAGTGACTCGTCAGAGAAAGAGGCTTTCCACTCCCATAAAAATGTGCAGTCTTAGAAACCCACACTATGAGTCAGAATCAATGAACTGGCTGTGGGTTAGTTTAGTTAAAGCAAGGCATTCCATTGTAGGCTCACTACTAACAAGTTAGTGCACCATTATCAGTAGATGTCACCGGTTGATATTCTTTCATGACCTAAAAGAGCCCTAGTGGTGCAGTGGGTTATGCATTGGGCTGCTAAGCACAGGGTTGGCAGTTTGAAATCACCAGCCTCCCTGCAGGAGAAAGATGAGCCTTTCTATGCCCGTAAACAGCTACAGTCTCAGAAACCCACAAGGGCAGTCCTACTCTGTCCTATGGAATCACTATGAACCAAAAATCAACTCAATGGTACTATGTTTTTTATCATTTTGTTTGTTTGTTTTTCAGTTCATGACCTAGCACAGTTGGATGAAAAGCTTAAGGGAAAATGTGTTACTTAAATAACTACACAACGGACAGATTAAGGTGTTTTTGATAACTGCTTTTAGGATTTTTGAGCTTCACATGCCATCTGGGCCTTTGGTCAAGACAACAGTTAGTAAACATTGTGTGTGAACAGACCTTGAGAGCCGAGGATGGGCTGTCAGGACCATATCCTTGGATTACTGGTACGGGAACCACTCTGGTCCCACAGGCTGTACTTTGATAAGGTACCTGTGCTTTAGGTCCAAACGCGGGTGTTTTGGTTGGGTTGTTTGTTGGTTCAGTAGCTACTAGTCCAGAAAGGTGACAGGGAGACTTGCTTTTGGTAAATGAATAAACCTTTTCCCGTAGCAAATTTTAAACTACCTATGGAGTAAAAATTGGTGGTGCAGCGAGCTAAGCATCGGGCTGCTTACCCAAAGGCCAGCAGTTTGAACCCACCAGCTGCTCCTCGGGGAAAAGATGAGGCACTGGTCTTCCGTGGAGTTAACAGCCTTAGAATCCCTAGGGAGCAGCTCTGCTGGGTGCCCCAGGGTCGCTGGAAGTCAGGACCCACCTGGTGGCAGTGGGTTATGAGGTAAACGTTCATGCGCGTGCATTCTACTCTTTAAATAAGGCTTAGAATGACAGCCTTCCACAAAGAATGCTTGAAAGAGGAGTTCTGGGTGGTTTATAGAGAAACCCAGTGCCTGTCTTAGAACTGCTTGGAGCCCTGGTGGTGTGGTGGTTACGAGTTGGGCTGCGATCCCCAGAGTCTGCATTTCGAAACCACCCACAGCTCCACGGGAGAAAAGTTAGTGTCGAAAACCCACAAGGGGTCGTGATGAGTCAGCATTGACTCAATGGCAGCGAGTTTGGTTTGGGTTTGGTCATGGAACTGGTGCCTGGTGTGGTTCACTGTGCCTGCAGATGTTGGGGATTCATTTAGCAGGAAAACCCAGGCAGCAGGTGGTACCAACCCGGAGACAGAAAAAACAGCCGGGCGGGGGTGGAGGGTGGGTGGGTGTACAATCCTTCTCTTTCCGAAACAGTTGCTTTTTTATTTCCACAGTTCTATCACCATTTTTCAAGTAGCCTTTAGAAAAATAGCCATGTGCCTCGCGGGGCTGCTGATTTTGTTTTAATTAAAACTTTTGTGAAAAACAAAACGAAACAGTGGAGCATACCAAGCTGATTGTGTTTGTACTGGGGAACAGTTAATGCAAAACACTTGGGAGAGCCAGGCCGGAAGTGTGGAGGGTAGCTTTTGCTTGTGTTTTTAACTTGGGAAGAAGGACAGTGTGAGAGGAAGTCATTGTGTTCCACAGAGAGCCACCCATCCAGGTCTTCAAGTGAGCGCTCTCAAGCCCTGGATGCCACGTGGCAGCCTCCGCAGGGCTGAGGAAGATGACTCGGGTGCCAGCCGTCGTCAGGTTGAATCGGAGACTTGACCTAGCACCCAGAAATGCTGGTCTAGGAGGAGGCTGGAGTCATTCCGGGGTTTCCTCTTGCCTTCAAGAGAGGCAGTACGTTCTTCCCAGCCCTCACCAGAATTCCAAAAAAGCGTTATCCTGGACGTGGACTGAACCAAGAAAGCAAAAAGTCATTGTAAAATGTTGGACCAAGCCAAACCCACGCCCACTGCCTCCCGGTCCATTCCAACCCTTAGACACCCCCTATATCCAGGCTTTATAGAAGCAGACAACCTCCTTTGTCCTCCTCAGAGTGGCTTTTGGGCTTGAACTGCCGGTCTTGCGGTTAGCAGCCCAACACTTACCGGACAGCGCCACCTGGGCCCCTTAAAATGTCAAAGGGTGCTGCTAATCTTCACAAGTAGCCATTTCACAGAAACCTACCTTCTCCTCCTGCGAGGGGGTTCCCTCCCCCTTGCTGTAAAATCCTCTTTCTAGGTAAACATTTCCTTGGCCTAGACTTGTTCCAATTTGACAAGGAATGAGGCTGGGTGTTCGGAAGCACCTGAGCAGACAGAAGTTTTCAGGCCACCCCCACAGATGGGCAGGGCGGCCTATCTCCCTCCCACTGCCCCCAGGACCCCCTCAGGGTTCCCCTTTGTTGGGGCCAAGCTTCCAATTTCTCTCGACACTGATTTAATCGCTGGCAAGTAGCCAAAGCATTAAACTTTTATTGTTCACTTTACCACAAGGGTGGGGCACCCAGCTTCTACTGGGCTGGGGAGGCAGGCTGTAGCCGCTTCCAAGCCCCAGGGTCACACCGCTATAGTGACTGTAGCCTTCAAGGGCTGGGCTCTGGTCCACTGGGTTAGCTTCTCGGTGGAAACTAGGGCAGTGGACCCTTATGACTCTGGCTTTAGCAAGGAATGACTTTTTAAGCTAGCCACATCGTAAACAACAGCAAAACAAAGCAGCATCGTCAGCCCCTAGAGAGGATTCAAAACGGGTGTAGCTATCAGCAGCATATATGTTGGCCTCGTGTGTTATGTTGGGTCCCGTGTGCCTGCGGAGCAGATTTCTGCAGTGTCTGCAGGCGCGCTCGGCCCTTGGTGTCCTAACATTGGATGAGAACATGGCGGCCAAGTAGCTCTCTTCCACCCTAGTAAACGTTGGTAACCAGTCCCCTTGCCTTATGTAAATTACTTGCTGCTGTGTAATCTATAAAAATTCATCTTCAAAGAAAATTATTGGGCTGGTAAAAAATATTTTTAATAATGACCACAGAAGCCATATTTGTTTTTCTTTGATGTTCTCCCGAAGCCTCTTCTGGTTTTAATCAGATGGTTCCCACATAAAATACAGTGGAAATCTACAATAATAAAATCCCTATTCCTGTGTCTATGGGGAAATAAAGCAGGATGCGGACTGTCCTTTTAAGGGGCTTTCCCCTTGTCTTTCCCCAGACTCAAAGCCTCCATTACTGGTGGGTGTTTTGGCATCAGTTAAGGGCCTTCAATCCTTCCCTCCTTCCATGTTTTGCTCTTTCATTAAAGTGTTTCTGTTGTCTAATTATATCCTTTCAATCAAATTAGAGACTGCAGCATCTGGTGAGGGCCCTAACTGCTGCCATCTGCACCTCAGGCTTTTTCAGCTGAGAATCACTCACGTTCCAAATGGCAGGAAGAGATTTTTTGGGGGTGGGGGCGGGCGGAGTCCAACTATGGATCGGGAGGTTAACTTAAAAGAACCGTCTTCAAAGGCGGACTATGACGCCCTGCTTGCTGCGTGTATGCTGTGCGCACGGCCACTCTGAGCGCCATTGGCATTCTTCTCTAATGCTTCTGGCAGATGAAGGGCTTGTGAGGCTTCCACGGGGATGATGAGGCCCTCCCCTCCCTGTTAGGGGGCTTAGAGGGGCTCAGGGCTGAGCTGCCTACCTTGAGTTTCTAACTTGAGAAGAATCTGGTTTTAAACCCCGTGGCCATCACTATCTGTCGATTTGATCGCTTCTGCTGCCTTCCTCCTGGTTTCTAGTGGAGGATTTTGGCCCCAGGGGACACTTGACAACGACTGGAGATGTTTTTGAGGGTCACAGTTTGGGAAAAGGTGTGTGTGTGTGTGTGTGTGTGTGTGTGTGCATACCTGTGCATGCAGAAGCAACTGGCATCTACGGGGTAGGGGCTGGGGATGCCACTAAGTATGGTAGACAGCCCCCTGATCTGGCCCCGGAGTGCTGCTGTCGAAGCAGCCTGTCTCTGCACTGTTCTTCTGTCCGTTCCTTCAGTGTGACCCGGAGCTGGCAACTCAGCACCATGGTCTCTCGCTCTTCAGTAGCTTCTCCAGCATCCCCCTCTAAACCCCCGCAGGCATTTCTGTGGATGGTGTTTCAACAACCTTCCTAGACTGGCAAGGCTGGGATTCACCCTATCTTTTATACCCTCTTGATGGTAGGACTGCCAGATTAAATGCAAGACACCCAGTTAAACTTGAATTGCAGCTAATTACGAAATTCACATGTAACTGGGCGGCAGGTGTTTTTATTTGCGAAATCTGGCACATTTTTCTAGGGCCATTTGGACACTCCCTTGAAACTATACACCTTGGCCAGTCCGAATCCACCCCCTTATTCTGATTGCTCTGCAGAGAATGCCGCTGCCCCTGCCTGAGCCGCTTCCGGCCTGCACTGTCTCCGGCCGGGGCTTCTGACCTGTCACCTGAGTTCTGTTTTTTATGTTGGGGCAAGTTAACAAGGACTAATCAAACAATCGAATGCCACAACTCAATCATTTCAGATTTTACTGTAAAGATGAGTCCCGGAGATGTATTGTCTACCTGATCATCCGCCTCCACCCCACCCCCCCCAACCTCTGGGACTCCTGTATAATTCGACCACTCCATATCAGCCAAGGGCAGCTGAATGGCCCCGAGGCTGGTTCCCATGGAGTGCTGGCTGCCCTCCAGGGCCCCATTATGGGGGACTTTCCTGCCATCTGAAGTTTAAAAGAGGCCACAGACAGTACTGACAAAGCACACCCAGAAGCCGTGGGAGCAGGAGCCTTAGACAGTATGAAATAGACAGGTTCCACGGGCAGGTGCAGATCTGAGCCAGGTGTTTGCTGCTGAAAGCAAACCCTAAATAGGAAAACTTTTAAAAAGGGACATTGGTTCCTTCCCTTCTGGAGCAACTTCACCATACTTGTCCGTTAAGGAACAGATACCAAGCATTTGGGTTTCTAATACTTGATTTTACATAAACTTTCCTTGAACTCTCGTAAGTCACCGCAAGTCACCTAAATCACGAGGCTCCTCTGGAGACTTAACTTGGTGAGGGAATGGGACTTTCTGTCTGCCTGTAATGGATTCGTTTCCCCTTCACTCCCCACACACCTGCTTCCATCCCTCACTCAACAAGCATTTGCCAGACCTTCTGTGTGGTATACAGTTGTTGAGTAGACAAAGATGGGTAAGAAATGCAAAGGCTAGTGGAAGCAGGGCTTTGTAGCCAGTTGCAGTCCACAGTAACCAAGTCCTGTAAGAGTCCTGGCATCAGATGCTTGCCATTTACTTTAGAGACTGTATTGTATCCATTCTATCCGAGGGGGAAAGGTGAGGCTAGATGCTCTCGTAAAGATTTATGGACCGATATCGATTCTCCCATTTCTGTTCCTGAGGGGTTCATCTGATGTGGATTTTGTGTGCCCTGAGCTCGTATCTGTACCTGCGTACATGCTCTGGTCTAGCC